TATTCTGTTGAAACTGCCAGACGCGGATCGCGATTTTGATCTGTTCGGATCTCATCAGCGCGTCGCAGACAGCTCCGACAGAACACAGACCAACTTTTACCTGCTGTCTTAACAGCGCGTTTTAGAAAATACCACAAATGGCGCGGTAAACGCCATCTGTAGTACGATGCTACATTTTAGAATTACGTCCTCCTCCAAGGTTCATTTAATATATGGATATCTAACTTGCTGAAACGAATCCCGGCATAGCTAACCTCAACGTGATAGGCGTCACGCCGATGAAATCCAAAAAGATCGATATCGCGATCCGCGTCTAGCAGTTTCGAATTATCGCGTTAAGGTTAGCTATGCCGGGATTCGTTTCAGCAAGTATATATCCATATATTAAATGAACCTTGTTGGAGCATACGTAATCCTAAAATGTAGCATCGTACTACAGATGGCGTTTACCGCGCCATTTGTGGTATTTTCTAATTTTTCTATTGATTGATGTTGAATTTCTGATTTACTTTGAAGTAATTTGTAATTTATATACCTAATAAGAACAACGGACGAGAAGTTTACTTTGAGTCTTACATTTTCCATGCACAGTTCTTAGACTATGTTAAGGCGGTGATTAACACTGACTTCTAAATTAGTTTCAGTCAGAAAACTTGACGGGAAGTACCTAACTAGAGCAACATTGTGTCTTCTGAAAATTTACTATTCAGTTGAGATGCAAGTTTGAACACATTTACCTACTATAGCTTTAAGGTAAATCATAAAGGGACTCTAATTGAAGGTAAATTGCGCATTTAGGCACTATGTTCAGCCTAACTAACACTATTATTACATCTACTGATGAAATATTCCTATATACCTAATACATATCCAAAATTGGACAATTAGTAAACGTTTCACGAATTGCGAGGGAGAGAAATCTCTACAAATTAATTCAAGATAAAGCCTTGATGCTTTCAGTGTTATCTACACATTAATATTTTCAAACATTAGTTCATCTGTCTGTGGATAAATTAAGAAGGAGTTTGCGTTGGCGAAGATTCTGATGGACGTAAGGTGGTAGAATTAGAATTGAATATTTCAGATTGTTTTCTCTGACATACCACAATTCTATGAGAATGTCTGGAATTATTCATACATATCAGGAATTTATTCAGAGGTTGTCTAATTCAAATAAGACGCTATTGAATACCTCTAAAAATATTTAGCAAATATTTAGTTGACGAAAGTTATATTAGGTACGTTGTTTATAGGATTTTTTGAGGAATAACGTCCCTCTACTGAGAAATGCTTGCTTGGGAAAATTCACGGAAGATTCTTCTTATTTTAGAAATTAATAATTGCAGGTAAAAATAGCTCTAATGATATTATTTTTGGCCTGTTTCAACACATTAAAGTGAATTAATTTTATCCACTACAGATAACCTCAAATTGATTAGGAAAAATTGTTGCGGTGTCACGTCCTCGTCGGGAATCGAACCCGGCCCCCTGGTTTTACATACCAGAACTTCATCGCTAATTTACAAGGAGGTGACAGCAAATTCAAAAATTAATTCACTAACACATTCAATTAACGTTATAGAAATTCAAAGTATCTCATCTATAATTTATTTTATATTTGTCTTAGCTCTTTTAACAGTTTACGTTAATGTAACTTTTAATTTGGTCGTTCCCAAAAAAAAAGAGCCGATTATGTTAAGTGGTAGAAGAAACAAGAAAATTGCAGCATCGAGAAGTGGTAATAAGATGTACGCAATTTGCATGCTTTCCATGTAGCAAGGGAAACTTACACCCCCTAGTCTCTGCTGCTTAAACAAAACAGTATCAAAGAAAAAGTGCCAGAGGATCAAAAGAAAAGGTTTCCAGCCTTGGTAAACACCTTTAGGGCAAACGGAACGTTTTATATTAACGATTTTTTATACTGAATTGCCGAAAATTCGACTACAAATAAAATGTAAATTTGTTAGATTAAAACACCCCTCGATCAAACAAAATGAGATTCTTCTTTCGAAAAAAGACGCCCCCTGTACCAACAATGACAACAATGAACTACGAAGTTCACAAATAATCAATGAAAATCCTAAATACGTTTATTTGCTAATGCTTTTATCCCTTTATATCTCCGAAGACTATGGACCGAAATAAAATTGTACAAACTACAACTTACTTAATTGTTTTATAAAAATTCACGATTTTATGCAGCATCTTTTCTGTTATTATCTTTTCTTAATGTCACAATTTTTGATAAATCGTATTATATATCAAATTTAAACCACAATGGATATAAAACCTTTAAAGCGAGAAGAATAACCGTGTTAGCTTTGATATCCAATTCAATATCCATTTTTTCACCTTTTTAAACTTTAATAAAAATCAAGTCAAGTTAGGGGTAAGATATTTTGCTGTCGCAAACATCTTCGTATTGCTATTATACTTCATTTACTTTCTCTAGCGATGTGCTCTTTCTTGTATGCGCGCTGGCAAAATCGTAGGTAGGGAGAAAAAAGCTCATTATACTCTCGACTCTTGTTCATTAAACATACTTTTTCATACAGTATCTGCCAAAAGATTTGTTCATCATGAATCATGAATAGTAATGCGAGTCGAAAACAAGCGTTAAAGTCTTTAATATGTCTTCAAATATAAATAAAGCTATCGTTGATATTTTAGTACTAAATGGTACCAATAACAGTGTGTATGACCAATGCAATTGTAGTGGAGAAAATGGTCAATTTTTCCGTGCAGTACTGTACGGATTATACGCTCCTCACCGGTTAAGAGTTTGGCCGAGAGTTGTCTCCTTCCTTTTCTGGCCTAGTGCTGTTAATTTCTACTTTGCGCCGGTCAAACTGGGTCATATCGCTAGAAAGTAAACGAAGTATATTATATAAGACTTCTTAAGGGTTCCAAAACATCAGTAAAGTCAGTTATGTACTACAACTTAGAAAATTGCATATTATTAATTTTGCAATAGGGTGCGTTTACTATGAAATATGATTTATTGATTTCGTCTATTTTCCGTTCCTGTCTCTTTATTTTTCATTATTATCAGAAGAAATTGTCGATTTTAGAAGTGTAATACCCATTTAGATACATATAATAGTGTACTAGGTATGTTTATAATAGAACTAATGTGGCTGTCAAAAATTATAAACTAATACTTTTTGCGTAACGTTTCGGTTAATTTAACCATCATCAGACTAAAATTAATAAAAAAATATAAAATATAGTTCTACTTGGTTTATTATAAATTGTATTTTGATTACTGCTACGATATAATTACTATTTATTTTAGAATTAGAATGAAGAATGAACTATTCTGTCCACTGTGGACACTGTGGACACTATGGACAGAATAGTTCACTTAAACCACCGCCCTATAGCCCGAATCTTCATTCTACTATAGATTCCGGCCGTGAAAGCCTTTGTTCTTATATTATTTTAGTATTAATATACAAAAAGCATTGGTTTATAATTTTAGATCACCATCCTCGAAAAAAACTCATCACTTTGATTTTAACGGTCAGGATATCGAAGATAATTTGTAATAGAAATTAGTGCAGCTGTCTCTTCTGATAATACGACTCGCTGGAATTGGCTGACTTTTAGAACGTCTAATAAATGGAAGGAACCAATTAATGCGCCTTAGGCCTACCTTCGTAGTCGAGGATGTTGACGTTTAATCTGAACTTTTAATTAAAAATCGTAGACTTGGATGTGTTGGGCGTGTTGAAATGTCAATGCTCGTTCAAGGCTTCGACACGAAAAGAAATTAAATTGATTTACATGTTGATTAAAATGTTAAATTGATAATGATGTGTTTAATTTATGGCAAAATAAATTTAGCTAGAACATGGTGGTGGTGGCTATATTTGTAGGGTTTAGGTTAAGATATAGTGGCAAAGATTTGGATTGGTACAAGAGCTTAGGTTAGGTTATGGTACGGTATGCACCGGTCCACATTTGAACGAGTTTAACCATCTGAGCAATACTGAACTGAAACCACACCACCAATCAAGCTCACTTCTATCAGCTTTACTTTCTGATTCCATTAGCCTTTTTTCGTGCAATTTTCCATCATTAATTAGAACGAAATGTTATATTAATGTGGGCTCTGACGGTGAAGAGGGAACGAATAATTTATTTCTTTGAAAGTCGTTAGTGAAGTTCTGTCTTGATAAACGACGAAAAGCAATTCTCCGAATAGTTCGCGAGATGTACGGCTAAAGTTTTCCTTCGTACTGTTTTCGAGGGGTTTCGTTGGCAAATAAAAAGCGACCACCCGCTTATTTTTTGCCTAAATTTTTCTCTATTCATATTCAAAAGCACCCACCTGGTGGTTTTTCTGTGGAAGATTTATTAGAACTTTTTGAACAACTCTTCAGTTAACAACTAAAAATAGGTACATACTTACTTATATACATATTTCTTTCATATTTAAAAAGATATACCAAATTTTACTTTATTGTAAGTCCCAAAAGAATTAAAACCTTTGGGTGTTTCATTCTCATTATCTGCTAAGGCTAGTAGGCGGGCGATCTGTCCGGAATACGCCGGGGGTAGGACGGAAGACCCTCTTCAGGCTTCATTCAGGAATCATAGGAAACGGTGGGTGGTGGTGGGAATGAGAAAGATGAGACGGACTAAATGAAGACGGAAACTATAGAAAAACTTGAACATGGGGAGATGCAGCACCCGGGATCGAACCGGTGTCCTCTCGAATGCTAAGCAATGGTTTAAATCTCTAGGCCATACCGGTCGGCAGCGTAATAAGCCTTATTTAAAAGTTTTATTTTATACCTAGGGACTGTCCATTGGGGGAAGTGACGTTCCTGTTACGTGAAGAGGGGCGCTTACCAAGTATGATTAGGGTAATAGAAGATATCAAAATTTGGTTTCAATTTAAATTTAATAAATGAATGATAATAAAATTTACATCACACAAATGCACAAAGAGTAATTAATGAGTTATAATAGTTAAAGTAGAAAAAAAATACTACCTTATGGAAAACGACCAAAAGATCATCCAATTTTCCATGTAGATCCCCGCATATCGTAACTTGCTTCGAAATAGCTGTAGATGCTTGGTTTAAATTGGGTAATCTTTTCAAATGCGTTACCGCTTCTTTTAATATGCCCGCCACGTACTTTGCATGGAGTCTGTGGTGCTGTAACAAAGGAGAAACATAAAAGTTCGTGATAGTTTCCTTAATTACTACTATACTTCTAGGGTTACAGGTTATCGTTTAAATTGAAAATTTAATCTGATCTAAACTATATTTTTACTGTTGTACAATTTTTCTTTTTGCATTGTAGAATATGTTATTTTCATATAATAATCAGATATCACGTAGAACAAACACCAATGAAAGTTGCTAAATAATTACAATAACGTAAAAAAGTGATAATGGACTTCGTTACCTTTTTCTTCCTAAATGTTTCTATTAACAAATCCAGGTCGTTTCTCTTCATTGGAAAGTTAATGTGAATTCCGCGATACATTCTATCTGATGATCGCAAACAATCGTCTTCATCACCTTCTGATTCATCCTCGAATTTCATATCCAACGTATCTGCAACAAAACCAACAAAATATTTATATCTCAACATTTATTCTGTTATCATTAATATTTCATCCTTTTTTTTATATTGTTCTTCTTCCTGATTAAGGAAACTATATTTTAAAGAAACAAAAATTGCTACATTTTATGGGCTTCCAAAAACTGTATGTTGAAACTGTAAAATCGAGATCCCTGTCTGACGGTTTTAACCTCTATGGACTTTTTGTTCTATAAAGTTCTATAAGTATTTGTAGCTTGTACGGTAAATACCTAGATTAGTAGGTATACTTGAACTAGCTTCGAAATTAATTTAAAACGATTAATTACGTTCGATCCTTGCTAAACCTATTTGATCCTAAATGCCCAGCGGAAGACAGATTCAATTTTACGGTCTAAATCCTTCTCTGCGATACTAATCAATAGAATTACGTTATCAGAAGTCACTGATACCAACTAGGAATTACTATGATGTAATTTTACTTCACGGGAATTATGTACTTCATTTTGTAAAATGTTCGGCTTACCATATAATGTTAAAAAAAATTGAAATACCGCCCTTCTTTACTAGAATATTCTATTATATTCGTTTTAACTGCCCCCTCCCTTCTTTACATGCTACCACGATTAACTACCTAATTTTTATATGAAATATTTTTAGAAACATTTGATACCTAGTGGTTAAAATTTAATTTTAATGTAAAATTTTCTTTCAATTTTTATCCACTACAAATTACATCAAATTAATGAGCAAAAATTGTTATTGCTGACACACCCTCGGCGAGAGTCGAACCCGAGATCATTGGCTTTACGCACCAATGCTCTATTTCAATAAAGTTACCTTAACTTTTTTAAACCTAAAGTTCGTATGTATTATGCCTTACGTGCTTACTTATTAAATAATTGAAATTTGTTCCAAAAATTAGTCTACTTTTTATCTGCTTTTACCAATCAATCATTTTCTCTTTAATCTACTCGAAAGAAATTGTATACTTTTAATCTTGTGCTGCATTATATGTTAAGCAATTCTGTTGTGACCAAAAATTAATTTCACTAATCCCCCAAATACAATAGACAAGAATAACACCGTGGGTGTATAAAGGAAGATGATAAGCCCTTAATCATTAAAGATCCATACACTGTAATTCAAACCACCTACTGCTTCCGATTACGGTTCCTTAATGAGAAAGAAACTGCAATCACTTATTAAATGAAAAGACTGTAATAGGGGCGCTACATTCAGTGTACTAAAATTACTTACAATCATAATTTTATAAATGATAAAAATAAAAAAAAAAATAAATTAAATATTGTAAAGTTGCTTTTGTGTAGGTATGTATATTTAATGTATAATGAATGTATGAAGTCCTACAAACGACGCGGTAAACGCCATCTGTAGTACATTGCTACATTTAGTGGAATTCGGTCGAAGCTGTTTGCAATGCGCTGATAAGATCCACCGCTACGAACTTCTTTGTTAAATAATGAATGTAGGTTAGGGCACTAAAGATTCTTGACAATAGTGAAACTGTAATTTCTATTACTTTTCACTTCTTCCCTCTTATTTATGAATATAATCCAAACTAAAAGTTTGGATACAGGCAAAAAAAAGAGTATTTTCTGAGCTCATTAAATGACAAGCTTTTGAGTCGTTAGCAGTTCTTTGCTCAATAGCCTATACTTATCTATGTCTTCTGATCACCCTGTATATATAGGTACTTATTGTCCACGTGATACAAGAACATCGTCACTCTGCTCACTGTTTTATAAGAAAATCGGCAGAAAGCGATCGATAAAAAACCGAAAGAAAAACGAATATTGGAAAACTTTCCGTTTTCTCTTAGATAATATACGTAGTTCCTTGTATAAAAATAAAACATTGTTCATTGTTATTATCTGTCGTTTACACTCACCAATGGAAGAGCTTCTGGACGTAGCGGTGGAAGCAATCGATCCTGTTGTGTCCGGAATGTGCTTGAGTAATGCGTTGAAAAAGTTGTAAAGCTGGAAGGAAAAAAAGTTTGAATTATTAAAAAAGGATTTGGGTGTGAAAGGGAGACAATTGTAAAAACCGACGAATGGACAGTGACAACCCCGGCTAATCCGGAAAACCTTTACTTTTTCCATTACGTTTATCTCCAAAGAAAAATCGTTTAGACACTTACAAACTAAATCGAGGATAAGACAAAATAAACTGAATATAGAAAACGGCGAAAACTGAATCGTTGTTTCTGATAAAAAATTTATTTTGTCTTTTGTTTACAACACGCCGCATTTAAACTTAGTGTCTATTAATTTGCTATTCTCAATACCAGTGGCGCCGCGTCATATTGATCGTGAATGTTCTATAAATTAGGAAGAAAGTAAATAAAAGCAATCACAAAATAGACTGTTATAGCAGTCTGCTGTGTATTATTAATACAGAGGGTGTCAGAGAGAACAACAGGGCGATTTAAAAGCCAAATAACCAATTATCTTGTACTCTTAGGCTACGCGCACACCGCAACTAAAATGTTCAACGACAGTTTAGTCGGTGTAAGTAGATTAAGGGCGCATTAGTAAACTAAACTATTTAGTCTCACATTTGTGCGCGCATACAAACTAAGCTGTTGTTTAAAAGAGAAATAAAATGTACCTGAGGCAATGTTAAAATTGTTTTGTTACAATTTGTGACTGAAAAGTTGGTAAACTGTTGTGTCGGTTAAAGCGCACGTACTGTTCGTTTCAAGAAGTTGGAGATATGCCCTTTCCTTTTATTAGGATGCGCCGTAGCATAATTCCAAATTTAATCATATTTGTCTGCGTAGCTCATTTCTTCACCGATCATCGAGCGAGAGTTAGAGAAAGGTGTACAGTACCATTTGCAAAATTATTTGAACTGCCTCGTTACAATTTAAGAATATGCTTTATTTAAAAGCATATTTAGCCAAAAGTAATAACAAGTGAATTAACTTAACGTTCTACACACCTATAAAACTTTTGCTTTGTTTTCTATTCTTAATTTATATACATTTTTGTTTTAAGAAATTGCTAAACATTTTCGTCTAGTACTGTACAGTTCTAGTGGATCTCTTAAGACCACCCATAGAGAGCTCTGCTCTTCAAGCTTGTTCCGACTATTTCTGTCTTGCTCACGCCTAGTGTGTATTCTTTCTATCTTCGCGCATATTTCTTCAAACTCACAATTCAAACAAACTGAAATGGGCTGTATTCGTATATTACCACTGACTTCACACGACGGGCTAGATTGTCGGACGACAAAAGAGTCCCAGTGCGCGCGTAGCCTGACTTTACATCAAATGATACCAAATTTATCGAAAAGTAATGCACTAATTGATGTCTAAACAACAAGACGCCAAAAAGCACACCGAAAGATTGGAAGCTAAAGTCAGTTCACGATTTATAGCACATCCATTAAGTAAGAGGGGCAAAGTTAGGCGATTCAAAAACATGAATAATTGACTGCTCTTTAAATGCTTATTACAGCCCTAATGAGAAGTTAAACGCCCCAGGTACTTTTTCAAAAATTACTGTTTTGCTACTTTAACATTAAGTGAGCACAATATGAAGAAACATTGTTTGATTGCACAGTAATTAAATAGTTATTAAATGCTTTCTAAATAGACCGGTTAAACGTTCTTATTATTTTTTAAGTAAATAAATGATTTCATGATATGAACCAATAGGTGTTGGCATAAAGAAGGACATAAGGAGATTTAAACAAGGAAAGGTTACCAAATAGTCATAAACAGATTAAATGTTTTTTAAAGACTAATTAAGTGCTCTAATGAAAAATTAAACGCTTTAGGCATTTTTATTTTCAAACGTTACTGTGCTAAATTAAGATTAACTAAGCAGAACATGGACGACAGAACTGCTCTACTTTGAAAACATTTTATGAGGGCTTAATCATTGAAAAGCTGTTTTCATTGTTTAAATAATTTTTCCGCATTTTCTGCTAACACGACCTTAAGCTAGCAATACAATAACTTCTGTAAAAATGCCCGCAGCATTTAATTTCCCATTAGAGCACTTAATTAGCTTGAAACAACGATTTTCGTTGCTTAAACCTGTAGTTCGTCGGTTTGTATCCCAAGGTATTATCCAGGTTACAAAGTCTTTTTCTTATTAGAAAAATAATAATAATAATAGAAAAATAAACATTTAATTTGCAACTAGCCTATTTAGTAAGCATTTAATTACTGTGTGACCAAAGAAACAATTTTCTTTGTTCTGACAATTTTTCCTGACTTAATCTTAAGTTGACAAAACAACAGTTTTCAAAAAAATGCTCGAATCATTTAATTCCACATTAAGGCATTTAATTAGCACTTCATAAGCATTTAATTGTTCACGTGTCTGCTCTTGAGTCTGCTCACTTTTTTCTTCCTACTTGATGGACGTGTTTATGGGCAAGAAGCTCAGTCATTTAAGTACAAGCCATCACATAACAAAACAAATGACTTTACAAAAACAAAACAATCATTCTAAAATTCACCTATTGTCATTCCCACACATTGTTGTGTCGAAGGCCAGGTCACAGCGATTATATCAATTTTTGAACGTTGCTGTCCTATTTACAATCAATTAATAAATTACACATGAAAAAAGCATTGTTTATCGATTAGTCTGGTATCATTTGATGTGAGATACGATTAAAAACCAGTGAGCTTTTTTAATATTGAAATGGCTTCTGGAAAAGCCGCAGTTGGTATTCGTTAATATTTTATTTGCTAAAATTTTGTGCCTTGGTGTTGTTATATGAGTTCACTCGTTCGGTTAAAGTATGATTTTCGAATTTATTTCGACAGTGGTGAAGGCAAGGGTTTTAAGAACGGCGTTATAATATTACCATAAGTGAAACTATGTATAGTCATAATAATATACTGCAAATAGCTGCAAGGAAGGAGATTAAAAAGAATTATATTCCCTACTATATTTATGGCTTTAGCACGGGAACGTTGTTGGCTGACGACAAAAATACTGAGTAAACTACAAAACGTTCGGCATAAATTGTAGTTCTATAATTCGTTGAAAAAAAGTTAAAACATCAAATAAAAATATAAAATAAGTACTAGCTGACCCGGCTACGCGTTGCTGTGGCTAACGCTTTTGTCATATTACATTGTTGTAAACTATTTAAGGGGAACGGTAGGAGAACATCAGACATGGGCACCACCATGCTTTTTTACATAGATGCCATTTGTAAGAAAACATGGCGACCTTCATGACTGATTTTCTACTACCGTTACCCCTTTTTACAATGAAATTATTATTTACGAACGAAGACGGAAACGTTAAAGCTAGTATAAAAATTTACTGGTTTGGGATTTGAAGAGGACAAAATAAATTTAACCTATACTTTAGCCTCATCAACATGTGGTGGTTACGCTATTAAAATCGTAGCTTATATGAAACGTTTGGAAGTTTGACATAGCGCCATCTATTGAATATTGCGATCATAAATTGAGATGTAAGCTATCCTATCTTTCAAGTTGGATCAAACTGCACACGGTGTACAAATTTGATTAAAATCGGTGAAGTAGTTTAGGAGTCCATCGCGGACAAACGACGTGACACGTAATTTATATATCGTATATTAAGATTAAACTCTGAGTGTTTTTTAAACATAAAGTTGTAAAAATAAAAACAATTTTTTTTAATAGTAATACTTGCTGTTTTATTTCCTTTTTAACGTTTTTCTTGTACAGTAAAAACTGCAGCAATTTTCCTGAAAATTAGTCAGCAACTTATTGTGATGAACGAAACAAAAACTTTCATCTGCAATGGAATAGCATAGGAATGCTTGCCAAAACTAAAATAGTTCGGATCGAAATTGCAGTTTTTGGCTATACAATTTTCGAGTTTGGCTTGTTGTTACTGCCCCTACATATTGATCCCAACTCTACTTAAACTTTAAGGTTTGTGAAGTCTGCAATATCAAATAGTGGTAAACAAAAGTATTACCATTCGAAATAGCTATTATTACGTCCAAAAAACTAAAAACGGACAGACAGACAAGACAGAAATACGAGTGATTTAATAAGGGTTCCGCTTTTCATTGAGACGTACGGAACCATAACCCAAAAACCAAATTAACATTGTAGTTGAAATAAACATATTCTCCCATACATTCAAACTGCAAAAGTAAATAAAAACAATTTTCTGTATTTTTTTTTCAAAATTTTAGGTCCAGCAGATATGGGGAGGGAGGTGTCAATCTTCATATATTTTCGTAAATAACTTTAAAATTATAAAAAATATATATTTGAGACCCTTACAACAACCCCTTCCTTTTCATATGTTGCACGGTCCAGTGTGCTATAAAACTACTGTCTAAGAGAACTAATGATCAGATATTTAAAGACAGAAAATCCGTTCCTTATTATTAGGGTTCCATACGTCATAATGAAAAACGGAACACTTATAGGATCAATCCTGTATCTGTCTAACTGTCTGCCTGTCACAGTCAATTTACTCCGAATCTACGGGACCGATTAAGTTGTAATTTAGTACACATGAAATTCTGACCCAAATACGGACGCATAAATCAATTAATTTTGAACATGGGGGTTATATTTCAGGGGCAATAGGAAATTTAAAAAAAAAGGTTTGCAAACTGCACTGTGTGACATATCAAATGAAAGGACTTGTTGTAACGATCACAAATATATTTATAATTTTAAAATAACTAGCTTTAAAGATATTTAACAAAATAAATGAAAATTGACAATACCTCCCCCTTATCTCCGAAACTACCGAACCTAAAATTTTGAAAAAACTACTGAAAATAATCCTTTACTTATGGATTACAGGAAAATTAATCGGAATTCTATGGTCTGAACATAACGTTGTAAATCTTTCAAAAAATATTGTGCGTTCAATGCCGTTTGAAAGTATGGGAAAACTGTTTTTTTTGTTTTCAACTACAATATTAATAAGTTGATTCTCTGATTAGGGTTCCGTATGTCCGAATGAAAAACGGAACCCTCACTCGTGTGTCAGTCTATCCTTTTTTTTCTGAAATAATGAATTTCTTATTTCCATTTTACATTATATATTGTTAGGTTAATGCTTGATTCCTTAATACATTTTGATAATCTAAACCGAAAGTACCTTTTTGCTCTGTGTTCCTTTTCGTCGATTTTGCTGTAACTTCGTAGCGTTTGACCTTTGAATTTTTGACGTTGAGAAACAAAACAGATGCGTATTAAATAGAAAGGTAGATCCCTAAAGTTTAAACGGTATTCCAGATTTTGACATAAACAGGAGGTAAAGGCGAAGTCAGGGAGAGCAATCCTACCTTTCACTTTAACCCCACAACGGTGTTTAAAGCCGATTTCATGAATTTCAAAGGAAGGAATGACAGACGATACGATTAAGGTGAAAAGCTTTGGAACTCCTTGTTCCTGTCCCCGAACTTCATTAAATTCAACTTAAGTCGAATACTACCACTACTAGGCGAACGGCATTGTTACATTCAACATTTAGGATCATACAACATGTCACCTATTTAAGACGATTTTGGCTTTTGCACTTTTAGTATTAATTTTATAATTGATATGTTACATTCATTAAAACTTATAAAATTACATAAATGATAACGTAAAAGAGATAATAACGCGGAGGGACTTCAACTTCAACTAATATTGTAAGTTTAGAGCATGACTCTACAGAGGTATGAAACGAGAAAGGTTGCCAAAAAAATGTTAGAAACGTTTGGTATGTAGTGCTATAGACAGATGATGGATATAACTTGGATAGAAATGGCTAAAAATGAGGACGTCTTAGAAAAAGTAGAAGAACAGGGGAGTATGGAAGTCTATAAGTAGGATGGTAGGATACTTTTTGAGACATGATATACACAAGGAAGGAACAGCTATGAGGAACTCCTTATCACCCTTTCTAGCCGATCTTTTCATGAGCCGTTTCTTCTCTTCTTGGTAACCTTAAGAATAAAATTCCATTTTTAGAGTTGTCGGGTATATACGAAATTAATTGTAATGATTGTAGCGTGAAATATGCAGGACAAACCAGGCGCTCAATTCATATTAGGTTCAAGGAGCATTTAGCTCATACCAAGCTTAGTAGAACTGAAAACTTCAATATTGCCGAAAATACTGAAAATCAAAGGATCAATACTGACGATCTTAAATTAGTTAGGGAAATTAAAAATAGTTTCTTGATAATTTTGAAAGTATGTTTTTACAAAAATCGTTCCGACTGAACATTGGAATATCACATTTCGAGTCATGTTCACTGGACCGTAATATCATTCAGTATTTAGATGTCTAACTGTCCTTTAGTTTTAAATTCTATTTGATCCATCAAAAACTTGTTGTCTAAAAGTACTTCGGACGCCAAGTGTCAAGTTTTGGCATTATAACTTGGGCTATTTAGTGATCTACGAGAATATTTTTGAACAATAAGATGATGATATTACAGGGAAGTGGACGAAAGTAGTGATTCAAAGAGAAGCTGTTGATGTCAACGAAATTTTAAGCAGTTTCTCTTTGAATCACTACCTTCGTCCAATTCCCTATGATATCATCATCTTATCTATATCATGGACATGAAATGAAACTTAACTTTTGAACGATGTCAAGATGTTTTTGGGTTAGAACATCCAGAAATCAGCAGATATAAAAATTCAATACTTATTTTTCTACCAGCTCATTTCTAGTTGTTTTAGCCCCAAACATGACGTGTTCCTTAACATTCGCCCGATTCTTTTTAAAGTTCAACCTGAGCCCGTATTTAGCTCGTTTATTAAATTTCCTATAAAACGGGATAATTTATTTGCTCCTCTCGATAGAATTCTTTAATCGGTTAAAACATTTTGTGTGTTTATATGCCTGTATGTAAATGCAGTGGGGTTTATATAAAGCCAGACAAGTTCATAAATAATTTAATTTGACTCGACCGGAGGAGAGACAGCGCCGGCAAAATTGACACTAGACCGCATCAGATAATAGGATTACAGTTGAGAAAAAGGGGTGGAGGTGTACACTTTTGTCTCTTCTCTTTCTTGGCTGATATTCTGGGTTGTCTGCGATTACAAAACCTGACGGATTTGACATAATATCTGCTTAATCTTTTAAAACTGTACATAGAAGATAATAAACACACCATTAATACCTTAATACCACGACTAGCTCATAAACTAGCTGGATATTACATAGTACAAAAAGTGTCTAAATATCCAGTTTGACGGGTTTCTTTAGGATTATTAAGTTACAGTAGGAATAGGCACCACTTACGAAGTGAAATGCATGGCAACGACACACTAAAAGGGCAGTCCCTTTAGACTACACCGGAAGGTAGGGCGAAAGGCCCTCTTCAGCCTACTTTCAGGAATCGTGGGAATGGGTGGGTGGTGGTTCGGGTGAGAAAGATGAGACGGGTGAAATGTAGACAGAAGAGAATGAAAGATTATTTGTAGAATATTATTGCCCCAGCATTTCTCTAAGTTATCCGAGAAAACCACAGAAGAACTTGGACCAAGGCAGACGGACCCGGAATCGAACCGGCGTCCTCCAGAATGCTAAGCAATGGTCTAAACCTCTAGGCCATGTCGCTCGCCACATCGTTTTTACTTATAAGCCTAATAAACAATGTCCGTCTGGACAGTTTTTATACTATCCAGCTAATTTACAAATTGATCTCCGGGAAAGGAAGGGAATTTATACTCACCATAACCTAACCTAACATGGCATTACAGTCAGGCTCTCCGTGCGATACAATTCAAAAGGTCATGATCTAAGTTTTCCATAAAAATAAGCATCACTCGACCCCCAATTTACCGATCACTACGTTTAGTTAATTTTTTCATTTATCAAAAAAACCTTAAATGAGACCCGTAGCGGAGACGTAACTGAAAATGTTATTTTACATTAAGTTGCGCGTTTTGAACAATACCTACTAATAGCAGGTGATTTTAACCAATCGGTTTAAGATTATATTGCCTTAGTATTCATCTTTACGTTTCTTTTAGGTGGAGCTGTATCCATATGTTTTACTTTCTTGTTCGAATAAGTTTTGAAATTAATACTTTCTTTATTCATAGCTCAATTACCAATTTGTATCACATGACTTACCCTGACTTGATCATGCTCTCCGGCATATTCAATACTTTGAAATATCGTCCACGTATATCGCCTTCGCACTTCCATTCTGGCTAGGTACCTCCGATACCATCGTTGAATCAAAATGGCTGCCTTCATTGCTGAAATAAGAAACTAGGAATAACATGAACGAACTTTCAGCGACACATATTAAATCAAAATTATGTTATAATAAAATCAGTAGTATTCTTGTAATGTGTTACCAAAATTACCAGGTTTTGAATTTATTAATTCTCATCACCAGATCTAGTGATGGTTTTAATTAATTACTGAGTATGAACTTCTTGTCTTTGCTAACAGTTTTTATCGATTCTTATTACTTACTTCGTTCTATTTTTGTCATGCTTAGGTCATCATTCCGTCTCCAGCCTTTGAAGAGGTTTCTTGGTATTAAGCCCTGTAGAAAACCTCCCTCTGACTTGCTCTTCTTGTTTGCAAAATTGGGAATAGTAACTTCAGCATCTGACGACCTGTAACTCGAAGTAGATTCATCTTCGTAGCCTATACTTTTCTTATGGAATGAAATGCAGCCACAGCCTTTGGACTTACGGAACCCCATCATCTTTAGAATGACGGAAAACCTGGAAATGGAAGGAGTAAGAACGTTTTGGTAAGTCTAATTTCATAACATGATATACAGAGTGTTCAGACAGACCAAATATTTGTAGATAGGTACTTATTAGTTATTTTAGACGAGGTTGTGAAATGAAATCCTACAAATGGCGCGGTAAACGCCATCTGTAGTAGATACAATGCTACATTTGGTCGATTCAATACTCCCAACAAAGTTCATTTAAATTCAGCAAGTAGATATCATCTATTTAAATGGACTTTGTTGAGCATATCGAATCCACTAAATGTAGCATTGTACTACAGATGGCGTTTACCTAGCCATTTGTAGGATTTTATAAAACGCGCTGTGTTAAGGCAGCAAGTAAAGTTGGTCTGTGTTCTATCGAAACTGTTTGCTACGCGCTGATGAGATCCAACAAAATTCACTTCAAATTTCTTTGTTAGTTCATTAAATGTTTACTAAAATTAGTGACAAGCGAAGGTAAATGCTACCCATTAGATTTAGTTTTACTAGCAGCATTTTACTCTTCATTAACATCCAAAATAGATGTATCAAGTGCCTGTACCTCTTGCAGATTGATTTGCCAAAGTTGTAATTGAAAACATGACCGTATTAACAAATTTAAGTGGGTAGGGGATATCACAAGCAAACCCCGCTTGACACTTGTTCCTCATTAGTTCTGCGGCTTCTCCACGTTTCACACTTAGTAGTAGTAGAATATGTAATTTAATTGCTCAAAATTAGATGGGTCTTCCATAAATGTTCATTAGGAAAATTAAACATCGGATCGAATCCTATCATAATTATTGTATCACACGAATCCTATTTAGATACCTAATACATTATCATCATCATAAGGTCATCAGTCCTAAGACTGGTTGGACACGTACCTCCACTCTTTCCTATCCTGAGCTAAACTTCGCATTTCCCTAAAACTAGAACAGCCCACATCCTTAACTATTTGCGAACAGTAATCTAATCTAGGTCTACCTCTA